TGATGGTAGACGTCGGGGACAAAGGAAAACCGGCCTCGAGCAGTCATAATGATAAAGGAACCCACAAGGGTTAGATTCAAATGTGCTCTCTGGAGCAGAGATTATTAACCCGTCTGGAGAGTGTACTGGCCCAGCCCAGTGAGAGTTGCTGACCTTCCTGGCCGTGCTGGTTCCATTGGGTGCCCTGGGAGCTAACAGAGAAATGGCTGGTTGTAGCTGATATGCAGCAGGGACCAACCAGGATTTCACAGAGACCTTGACCAAATGTGACAGGGACAAATGCCCAGCTGGAGACTGATAAAGGGAAACTGCCCTGATCAGTGATAACGCCCTTGGAAGCTAAATAAACATTTACTATTTAAGACTCTCTATAAACACACAGTAAATCAAGGGTAGAGCTGAGAGAACCCAGGAGTCCTGACTCCCAGCCCCTGCCTTAAGCACTAGCTACTCTGCTTCCTGGAGCCTTGACAAGAACCCAGGTGTCCCGTTACCCGTGCCAGGAATCTGCTGCCACAGCCTGTTTTCAAAAGACTTCTTAAAATAACCCGTCGGTAGTGAGCAGTCCCCTTAGTGGAAATTGCTCCAGTGCCGCTGGGGGGAGCCTGCAGGGGCCAGGGGAAGGGGGATATTTGCCAGCTCAAATCTAAAACTAGATCTGGATCCCATTTTATTTTCACCCACAACATTGGGGAGGACCACTGACTTCAATAGAAGGAGGATTTGGTCCTCTGGAAAGTATATGTGGCCAGCTTGAATTGCATTTTGACAAACACAAAGCAGGAGGGGGATTCAAACCATGCATTACTTAATACCAAGTCAAACACACTAGCCCCGCAGCTGCAGGGCTCTCTAGTAGCTGCTAGTGAGGATTATAACATGGCTAGCTAGCAATTTATTTCATGCTCAGCCTCCACGGTCCCAAACATGAGGAAGTGTGCAAGCGATAGTCCCTCAATCTATCAAGGACATCACATCGGAAAGCAAGGAAACAAAACACCTCTGTGCCTAGGAGAGTTGTCAGTTTTGGTTGGACGTATCCTGGGACTAGGTTTCGTCACATGACATAACCTTTAATTCAAGATTAACCTGTAATTCCTGGAGACTCCCGGACAATCCTGGATGACTGGCACCCCTAGTGCCTAGGAGAAAGGAGAGGGCTGGCAGAGCTGGCATCAAGCTCCAGAATAAATGGGCACCTGATCAGCCAATGACTAATGGACGGGGGAATCAGACCCCAAACAACGTGAAGCCCTCCCACGGGCAGATCTTACTAACTTCTGACAACACCTTTTTATACTTTGGAGACCCTGCTATTTGTGATCCCTGTAAGAGAGCTATGTAAGAGCCGCTCATCAGCAGATCTCAAAACACTTTAAAGAGGAGGGCAGGAGCATCACCCGGTTTTACAAATGAGGAAACTGAGGCCAACCAGCTGGCCTGTGATAGAGCAAGGAATACAGGGCAGCTTGCCTGACATCCTAGTACTATGCCACACCGGTAGCAGAGCATCTTGTTAAACTGGGTAACACGGGACCAGCTGACTGAGCACAGACGTCTCTGGCCTCCTTTCTAGAGGAAAGGAGACGATCACACAAAGAATCTGATTCCGTCTCCTTTCCTTCGGTGCTTTTGTCTCCTGGTGCTCACCCTTGGCCTACCGCCCACCCCACCCGCACAGCTCCCCTCCCAAAGCTCTGGGACAAAAGAGGCCCCAGTGATGTTACCCCCCCGCCCCCAGCAGCTAGTTAATATGTACATATTGTTTTCCTTAAGGGCCAAGCGCTAAGGGTTTTTTGGCTGTGGCCCTTTGGATCCAGCAGGCCCCAGAGCAGGAAGTCCCTCTGGCGAGGCACTAATTTCGCTTCTCACAAGTGCAGGATCCAGCGATACTCCAGGAGAGGCTCTGTGAGAGGCTCCCATTAAAATCAGGACAAGTCCCAGCTTTTCGCAACCATGTGGCAGTAAGCATAACAGCAGCATTGTCCATTCCGACCCCCTCAAAAATCACAAGTCAGGTGCTAAAATCACGAGATGAATTTACCAATCGTGAGATTTCAAACAGTAACACAGCTGGGGTTCTGTTTAGTGGACTGATGGTTTCTGAGCTGGCAGCGTGATGTTTCCCTCTTTCCTCCCCCACCGTGAAGGCCAGAAACTTACTTTGAAAGCAATGCTACCGTGGTCAACTTAACTGTGTCGTACAGGATGTGAAATTTTTCAACCCTAGGTTGATCTAAGTTTTAGGTATAGACCAGGCCTGAGAGTTTCACTTAATCACATGACTCCAGGAGCTGGGATTTTAAAACCAAACCTAATTAGCTGGCAACTCATAACAGAGTCCAAATCACCAAAGGGTGTAACTATTCTAGAGGGCGGGGAATTGCCAAGCGGGAGAAAATATAAGCAGGAAGAAGGAGAGGAAATGAAGAAAGTCTGGACAGCATAATTTGAGTGAGGTCTATGCAGGAAAGCGACAGAAGCTTCAGCATTGCGGATATGAAACCTAGAGGGTAAGGAGACGACCCACCATAACCATGAGCTTCCTGGTTAGCTAGCTGCTGTGGGTGAAATTCACCCCCTGTGCAGACAGCTGGTACAAGGCCTAGCCATCCCTCATGTCCCCTAAGCAGGACATCAGTGGGGCTTAGGGGTGTATTTTTACTTACTGTAAAATATATATTAAAGAGTCAGAAACTTGAGGAAGGGGTGTGGGGTGGGAAAATCAGCCACTGCTAAACCTTCTTGATTGAGGGAGGCAGAGGCAGCATTGTCTCCTGAGGAATCCTCTCAGAGGACAGCATTTCCTTGTTTGCCCACAGCTGGTCATTCCACTCAGCCCCCCGGCTGGGCCAATTTGTCCAGAGGAGCAGAAGATAAGGCCCCCAGCGCCAGGCAAACACGGTCATTTGCAAACCCATTAGGGGAGGCGCTAAGCATGTCCCCCTGAGGGTTTCTCAGGAGGATGAGGTGACAGGTCGGGAGCACTTAGATAAACTATCCCAAGGGACAGTCTAGGGAGCTGGGGCTAATAACATGCTGCATGGACCAAGAGGATCGCCCCGTTACATCAGGATGGGGAAACTGAGGCATGGGGAGAGGGAGTGACTCCTCCAAGGTCACACAGTGAATCAATGTAAATGAAACCCAGGAGTCCTAGCCCCCAAATACCCTGGGCTGGAAAGCTGCTAGAAACAACTTCTGACTGGAAATGAGCAGAAAACCAGGCCCAGTATCCAAGCATCCCCAAAGCCTAGATCCAGACTCTACGGCTACTCCCTGTTTGCTAGACCTCAAAAGATCTGTGTTCAGTCCCTCTGTCTGCAACAGGCTGCCCTGTGTGACCTCAGGCAAGGCACTTTGGTGCCTTGCTCCCACTGAAGTCATTAGGAGTTAGGCACCTAAATAGCTTTGAGGATCTGTGCCTCAGTTCTTCTATCTGTGAAATGGGGGCAGTCTGTCTTGTCTATTTAGCCTGTAAGTTCTTTAGGGATGGAGCTGTCTTTACAAGGCCAGGATATACTCAGGCCTGGCAGAATTCCTTTTTTACTTTTTTATAATTTTGACAGATCATATCGCTGTTTAGTTTTAAACATCGTTTTAAGCATTGTTGTTATTCTTTTCTCCTGCTGGTAATAGCTCATCTTAATTAATTAGCCTCTTAGAGTTGGTATGGCAACTTCCACCTGTTCATGTTCTCTGTGTGTGTATACATATTTTCTTACTATATGTTCCATTCTGTGCATCTGATGAAGTGGGCTGTAGCCCACGAAAGCTTATGCTCAAATAAATTTGTTAGTCTCTAAGGTGCCACAAGTTCTCCTGTTCTTTTTTCTATTTCAGTTTTCAGAGTTGCAGGAAATTTGGGGGGGGGGGGGGGGAAGGGAGAGAGAAAAATTATTTAATGACAATAGACATTGAGATTCAAAAGCTTTCTAACCATTAAAGCACAAATTGTCAATATCACATGTCCAAATATACAAAGCAACTGTCCATAAGTTAACCTCTCCAGCAGCACTTTTCTTACTTGGCTTATCTGTCAATTTCAATTATCACCCGTGGAAATATTTTCTTCCTTGGTTTGTGTGTGTTCCGTAAAATTGACATTTCCCAGTAAAAATCGAATCCTTCCAAGCCTAGAGATAAGGCAGCTAATAATAACAATGCTGTGGCTAGCATATTTCAGCTGTAGTGCAGACGGGGACTTTCCTGGAACGGCCGCATCCAAACATATTTCTGGTCAGAGAAGTGAAACTGACTCTCTTGTTTTCTGTTTCACTTACTGACCCAAATTTACGTGTTTTCTTTGTGGCAGTGTCTGTGCCCCTTGTATGAGCCCACGTGATGGAATTCGGCCAGGAAACCAGTCAACGCCCTGACTCTTATGCAAAGCACCATGGGATCATTAATGACCATTATTACTTACTAGCTATATTAGGATAGCATCTAGCAGCCCCAACTGAGATCAGGGCCCCAAGGTGCTGGGTGCTGCACAGACACAGAGGGAGAGAATTTGATCAGAATACGCCTGCCTGGCCCTACATTCTATGAGCCAATGTGTGTTAGGGCCTCAGACGCGTCCCCAGCACGGCCCCCATGAGCCATTGGCTCTGTGCAGTCCCAGCCCTTGTACATGGCACGCTGGATCTGCATTGAGACCTGCAATTCGCATCCCCCTCCGAAGGCATTAAGCGGCTGGACTCTGGCTAATTGGCGCAGTGCTGGAGCTGGCCGGATCCCGGGGCTGCCCCTCGTGTGCTCAGTGAGCCCAGAGCCAGACTGCCGGGGGCTCGTTTATTTTGGGGGCTGTTTTGGGAAGGCCGGTGATTATGCTAATCCTTTAACCCCTGATTGCCTCCTCCTTCCCATTAGATGGTCAAACAGCTTTAGCAGCAGGGGCTGAGATAGGCCCTGGACTATATAAACCCCGGGGGCTGGCGCTGGGTTTCCTATCACTCCAAAGGGAAGATCCTCCCCCTACCATTTGTCAGATCTGCATCATGTGGGCATCTCCTGCCAGGTTCTGGCTCCTCTCCTTACTCCTGTGGCCCCTGCCTGCTGCGGACGGCTACATCTGGGCGTGGTTGTATTCTATGCCCTACCACGCCCCAGATGAGGCCACCCTCTCCAAAAGCTCCAGCCCCCTGGCCGACAGCAAGGAGATTGCGGTAAGCAAGGGATGGGTGGGCACTTGCCCCGCAGCCTTCAGCCTGCCTGGCTTGACTGTAGGGGACCAAGCATCAGAGCGGGGGAGGGGTCTCTAAGTCTCCTTGTGAATCCTGCATCTAGCAGGCCAGCCTTTGTGGTGTAATATGGGGTGCATACGGCCAGTGGTTTGAGCCGGGGATTTTTTTGGGGTGGAGGAAAGAGTCAGAAGTCCTGGATTCTATTCTCTGCTCATGGGAAGGTGGGCGCTCTATTAGCTAGAACGAGGCACCAGGACTCTTGGGTTCTATCCCTCACTGTTACTGCATGTCCTATGGCAAATCAGGGCCTCGTGAAATTAACAGGCATCTTTTCATTGACTGCACAGGCTCTGAATCTGAGATTGTAATCTCGCTCTACCTCATTTCCCCCTACTATAAAACAGATGCATTTACGGTATAGAGGTTAGCGTTGTTGGCATCCAGGCAGCTGGTCCTAGGGCAATTCCTAGCCAATGTAGCAGTACATTTGGTGATTTCCAAAGGGGTTCACACCCCCAATATAAATTTTTTAGGGATCCGCAAATGAAATAAAAAACTTGAGAACCACTGGCCTAGTGGGTAGAGGAAAGGACTGTTGCATGCTTTGGAAGAGCACCACCAGTCGTTGCACCAATCCTGATTCAGAGGCAGAGAAAGCAATTTTCAGATGCTCCAGTGGCGCAATTGGTTAGCGCACAGTACTTATAAGGCAGTACTTGACTGAGCAATGCTGAGGTTGTGAGTTCAAGTCTCACCTGGAGCAGGTGTTTTATGGGTATGGAATTATCTGGCCCATTTTTAGGAGGTCCAATGAATCCAAACAGTAGAGCAGGGGTTCTCAAACTGGCGCTGGGGACCCCTCAGGGGGTAGAGAGGTTATTACATGGGGGCTTGCGAGCTGTCAGCCTCCACCCCAAACCCCGCTTTGCATCCAGCATTTATAAGGGTGTTAAATATAAAAAAAAGTGGTTTTAATTTATAAGAGGGGTCACACTCAGAGGCTTGTCATGTGAAAGGGGTCACCAGTACAAAAGTTTGAGAACTACTGCAATAGAGGGTCCCTCTGGCCTCAAAAATCGATGGACACTCACAAGAGGTGTGTGGGGCTTAAGCAATTAATGACTGTAAAACGCTTCCCTACCTGGGTGTTTTAATCCTTAAGGGGAAACAGCCACATATATCTTAGATATCGCATAATCAGTTCTTGAGCTGTGTTATTAGAAGCCCCTCAGGTTACTAATCCAGGAGGAATGTTAAAAATAGAACTAAGTGGGGAGATGCTTCCCCCCCCTTGTAAAAATTCTTGCAAACTAATTTTTTGTCCATGCTCATTGAAATGTTTCTTCAAAAATGTTCAGGGTTTAATTGAAAAACCAAAAATATTAGTGGTGAGGGGGGGATTGGTTTTTTGTTTTTTTTCCCCCAAAGAAACCCTCCCATGCCAAATTTCATTGAAAACTTATTTTCTGTGAAAATTTTCATTTCATCAAAAAAAACCTAAAACCCCAAACCCCCAAAATCCAATTTTTTGTTTGAAAAATGTAGACGGAAAATTTTCAGCCGATTACAGCTCAGATGTGGCTGGTCTGTTTCACTTTGTTTTCTGTTTAAGTTTCACTTCCTAGTTCTCATGCACTAGCTCAGCATTGCAATGTTTAAATCCAAACTGTACAAAACCTCACGCTGTTTTTACAGATTCTTTATAAAAGAAAACCAAGAAAACATTGCTATTCATGTCAAACTGTTTTTTTTCTACTAAACCTACATCACCGTCTATAACTTCCTAACAGCGCCTTGGTTAGAAAGAGCCTCATACACAAAAGTGCTTAAAACAAACCATAAATTCTGGAGTGATTTATACGACGTCTCTGTCAGGAGTGACTTGCTGGCTTTGAGCAGCTCTAACCATATGCTTAGTACAGAGGTTCTCAAGGACTTAATCATTATTTTGACTATGTAGTATTCTGATAGTGCTAAGAGCGCCAGTAACGGACCCGGTCCGTATGATGCGAAGTGTTTGGCAAACACAACAAAACATAGTCCCTCCCGCAAAGAACTCATGTGCTCAATAAATTAACCCTCACAAGCCCCTGGGAAGGAAGAATTATTAACCCCAATTTCAAGTTAGGGAAACTAAGGCCAAGTTCATGCAGCTAGTCTGGGAAGAGACCCCAGGAGTCCCATCCCAACCTTTCCTCTGCTGCTTTCCAGAGATGGGCCAAGGAGTGTGGCACCTGGATCTAGAAAATCCTTGTCAGCCAGACATCTCCGGCCAAGGTTTCCAAAAGTGACACAAGATTTTAGGTGCCCTGCGTCAAGGGACCTGGCCTGATTTGCAGGGGCTGGGCACTTACTGAATGAGACCCCTTTAAGGCATCTCCAGTGGGGAGAGAAACTGAATCCCCCTGCCCTCCACTCCCCTCCGACTCCTTCCCCGAAAACCATTGGTGGCTTTGGAAAATTGTGAGCTCTCCAGGCCTTTTCCCTTCACAGAAGGGATTGCAATTAGGATGTCCCAAAAGGTCAAAAATTGATCTGATTCTGGGTTGAAAGGTTGGTTGGGAACTCAGGGGCCTCGCCCCTGTTGCTATCACACCCTCCCATCACACCCTCCCCCAAGGTCTCAGCACCCCCCCGTGTTGGGACATTTGGAATCCAGGTTGGCTTTTCGATTGCTATGGGAAATATGAGGATAGGAACTCAGCTGTGAGGGCTGCTTCCCCAGTCCAACCTCCCGCCCCCCGCCAAGAAGCAACAGGGACATGCCTTTCCCATCTGACCTTGCATCATCTCTCCCCCAGGCGGCCACAACATGTAGCCAGGACCGGCACTGCGCCCACGGGCTCTTCTGTGATAAGCACTTCCGGCTGTGCCTTCCCCTGCGCCAGGAGGGGCAGTACTGCCGCCGCGACACCCACTGCGCCAGGGGCCTGACCTGTATGTTTGGCAAGTGCCACAGGACCGTGCCGGACGGGCAGGAGGGTAAGGCATGGAGAGGAGCCGCTTTCCAGGCCTGAGTCGCCCTTATCCCATCCCTGGGCTTCAGGCGTGGCCGGGGTGGAGGAGCTCCTACTGTTCTGAAGCTGAACACTGGGCCTGCGTGGGCCCCTGGCGTACGGCGGAGCAGCCTCCCAGCTGCTGTAATTTACACCTGGCCACTGGGAGACAGAGACTAGCCATAGGGCAGGGTGCTCCAGCCACGCCCCCCCACCCCCATGCCTCCCCTAGGAGGCAGGGCAAGGCACAGCCGTGGGGGGTCCGGCTCCTGCACCCAGAGAAGTGGGGTTTCTCTGGGCGGCTGGTCCAGGCCGCACAGACTGCAGAGGAGGAGGCCCTTGCACCACCAAGACGAGAGGGACTGGGTGCTATGCTGGGTGGGTTGGAAAGCAGCAAGCGAGGCAGGCTGTGGGGTCCCGAGCAGTGGGGGGAGGGAATGGATGAAGCCCCTCCCTGCCTGCCTAACCCCTCCCCCCACCCTGTCTGCCCCCAGGTGCTCGCTGCCGGCAGGACAAGGACTGCGGCGTGGCCGCCTGCTGCGCCCGCCACCATGGCGAGCTGCTCTGCAAGAAGAGGCTGGCCTTGGACGAGAGCTGCTTTGTGCCCCAGGGAGGCCTGGCCTTCAGCATCAACCAGGTCTGCCCCTGCCAGGAGGGGCTGGTGTGCAGGACCGGGGCTGCTGGCCGAGAGTGAGTGTGGGGCACGCTCAGGGCCTGGAGGTACTGTGGAGATCCTGCCTGGTCCGGGGCAGGACTCTGGGACAAGGGGCTTTCATGCCATCAGACCTGCCGGGACAGAATACAGCAGGAGGTGCAGGGGCATTAGTAGAATGCCTGGCAATTCTGGATGCATTGCCCCTGCTCTTTACTTGAAGGGGATATTGGGTTATACTGACCAGAGCAGGGGCATGGGACCCAGGACTCCTAGGTCCAAACCCAGGCTCTGGGAGGAGAGTGTTGTCTAGTGGTTAGAGAAGGGGCTTGGGAGCCAGGACTCCATCCTGCTCGCTCTGAGGGTGTGAGGTCTGGTGGTTAGAGTAGGGGAATTTTGCAGGTATTCTGGGTGCTATTCCACTGACTCCTTGGGCGAGTCCCTTCCCTACTTTGTACCTCAGTTTCTCCATCTTTAAAATGGGGATAATACCCACCCACCCCCAATGCATGCTGTGCAATTCCAGGGTGGGGAGGAGAAGGGCAGAACAGAAATTCCTGTTCTGAGCCTATTCACCCTCTGACCCCTGGATCGCTCCCTTCTTGTCCCCTCCAGGAAAGCGTTCGAGTATTGGCAGGATAAAAGTGACTGGAGATGCATGAAGCCCTTGCTGTAGAGAGGAGGTGCATCCTTCCCTGAGGACAAGAGCTCTGTATTTATTCCCTGTAAATAGCATGTACATAGACCTGCTCTCAAATAAACATGTATGATCCTTCAGCACTCAGGGGCCTGGCTTTTGATCAGTGGCAGCTCTGAGCCACCAGGTTAAACCACTGAGCTATAACATGACCTGATGTTGGAAAGCATTGGCCGTTCCCTGCAATAATGCCCTGGATTTCTGCACATCGCTGTGTGTGATTGCTGTATTCTCCCATAGCATGTGCATGCATGGGTATAGCTTTGCTGTAGTGTGTGTGTGTGTATATTATATATGAGACCACCTCACACTGCTTCCTATATCGCCCATGGCAATCAGTGTAGTATTGGAAGCCTGATATTTGATTACCGTTATTGGAACCTGCAGAATTCAATTTCTCTTTGTGTGGAGAGCAACACAAAGGTACATTAGCTGCTCCCAGGAAAAGAGAGAAGGTAGCACCTGCAAGTGAACCAGAAATTTCTTGATCTGCAGTCAAATGCTCTACCACTGAGTTCCACATCTCCCCCGCTGCTGTACCACTTACATTACCTGTTCATAAGGCCAGCTGGCAATAAGTTCTATCTCCTTGTTGCCTAGTGACTGTCTGGCGCAGTGTGAGCAGAGGAGATGCAGCGTGTTACAGGGCTCCGAACAAATAAGTTAGGCCTAGTAGTTCTGTTAATCAGGGAAGGCGTAGCCGAAAAGCGGCTCAATGTTACGAAGATCCAGTAGCCCCATGGCTAACACAGCTGTCCCCCTCGGCACGTGCAGGTAAATGCAGCTCAGAGCAATCCGCAGGCAGGGTTTGATTCCTAGAGAGCCTGCATTGAGAGGGGGCGCGGTTTGGAGCACGCCACCGCGTGGGTTTCGATGCCCTAGAGTGAAACCAGGGAATTTTGGTCTTGAGCACTTCGTCACAGTTCCACTGGATACGCAATTCTGTAATTAAAACACAAGGGCCCAGAACGTCAAAGGTATTTTGGTGAGGTAGATGCCGAAATACCTTTGAGGATCTGAGCCAAGGTGCCTCTTTCATATCCCAGACTCCTAGAGCTGCAGTGCAAAGGAATCATGCAGGTTTAGCTACCTTTGGCAGGACACCACAGCAGCACCTGCGTACAAAGTGGGGCAAGCTCAGTAGTAGAACAGTTGACTACAGCTCAAGAGGTCCTGGGGTCAAATCCAAGTGCTCCTTGGATGGGACTTTTTACCTCTGGAAATCATGACATTAGTCTAGTGCAGTGGGGTGCGAGGCCCAGCACCCATGATGCTACCAAAATACAAGCAATAAGAAGCCATAGCACATCCCTTGAGGAGCTATTTCAGCAGTTCATCACCTATTGCCTTCACGGGGAGAGATGTGGCCTTCGGTCCCCTTCCAGTCTGATTTTTTCCCCCTAACTTCAGCTCCTAGCCCTCGGATCTTTCTCTTTTTCTCCGCTAGATTAATAACGTTACCAGCCCCAGTGCTCACAATTCTGCAAAAATCAAGAGATTGTATTTAAAAAAGAAAAACCACTCGTGATGGTTAAGTCATTGTGGGTTCTTTGGACTTGCCTTCTGGATTTGCTGGGTCATATGTTCAAGCTTCTCTGAGGAGGTGGGTCAGCAGCAGCAGCACGGGGCTCAGGTATTGTATCTAAAGCTTATTGACTAGAGCAGGTGGGAGCAAACACAGTACACACATGAGAACACTAGAAGGCGCTCAGGCAGAGGAAGGTTCAGTACAGCAATGAAGTTAAAATGGGAACTGTTGCATTTTTGAGAGTTCACATAAAGAAAGAATCTAATACAGCCCTTCTGCCCACTTGCTTATTGCAGGCACAATAGAACATCTTAACTTCCTGCTCTGTGCTGCTGGATGTTTCTGCTAAAACGATGAGCAGTGAAACAGTTAAGTGTTGAGATTTAAATGAATATCAGTAGGTTTCAGAGTTAACACACCATTGCTATTAATGTGAGAGTTCACACCTCTCTAAGCTATTCTCGCAGGCCACGTGCAGACTCAGGAAGAAAATGCCCCAGCAATTAAAATCAGGAAGCTTCTCTTCACAGTCAGGAACATGCTTTTTAAAAAACATTAAAGTTGGGATTCTAGACCACAGATCCGTGGCAAGAGGCAGAGTCCAGGACAAGTTCAGTGGATCTAGCTATACAGAGCCCTGCGTATATGAGACAGCTGCTACCAGCCTCAGACACTGGGCTCTCTACCTCTCCCATGGCACCAGTGCTTGTTTACCTGTCCTCCCCTTATTAGTGGCTGAGTTGTGTTAATTAACTAATTGCTCATGTCAGAGTCATTTCCCCAGCATGTGGAGCACGGCATATTCCATGCCTTGGTGCACGAGACCAGGAGTTGAATTCCAGATCACATAACATCCAGTACTTAAGTGTAGGGTGACTAGAAGTCAGGACGCCTGGGTTCCATTCCTAGGTCTCCCGGTGACTCTGTGCAACCTTGGTAAAGTCACTTAGCCCTGGCCCTATTCTGAGTCCAGCGCTCAGCCCACTAGACAGCAATGCCGACGTTCCCCCCAAAGACAAGAATCCAACAGGGGTGGGGGAAGAGCCAGGCAATATTTTTTTTAAAGGAAGACCTGAAACTGTGTTGGCTCCTTTAGTCCACTCACCTCTGTGCGAGGTGGGAACAATCACCCCTCTCTAGTCCCACGTGGGAGGCTTGACCAGTCAATGTGCAAGTGCTTTGAGATCCGCCAGAGGGAGAGGCGGTGGGTTGCCCGGCTGGAGGCGCTGCATCTGGTGCGGTGCCGGATCAACACCTGATTATGATGAGCTGCCGCTGCACAGAGCCCTGCCCTACAAAGCACCTCCCCGTGCTTCCTGTTTATGTCTCTCTCTGTAATGTCGTTAGGCCCAGCTGCCTCATACATACAGCTGTGAGCTCATGGGGTTTCCATGCGGTCAGAGACACACACGCACAGCTCCTCTCTCACATGGGAGGTAAAATTACCCCACAAGCAGGCTCCGCCCAAAGCCCTGCTGACTCAGCTCAGCTCCTAGGCCAGCAACGATCAGCTCCGTGTCGCCTGCAGCCTTTAACGCGGAGCCTGTGAGCCCAGCCCCTGGGAGAACACCCCCAGGAGCCCGGCTAGAGACCGGTCCTGCTGGCCACCTGACCGGCAATAGTGCAAAGTGCGCAAGAAGCACTCACCCACTCCTGTCACGCAAGGGGCTCCGCATGCCCTGTCCCCCATATCTCCTGGCTCCAGTGGGTACAGAGCGACTGCCCTATGCACCACTCAACTGGCCACAACCAGCACGGGACAGGCTACCATCCCACCGCAAGATACAAATCAGGTGACTGACCTGCGGAATCGCCCGACAGGAAGGGCCACAGGGCGAGTGACGACAAGTTATCCAGCATCCTCGACTTGAACCTCTTCCGATCTAAATAAAACTTTTTAAGGCGTCAGATTCTGCCCCTTCTGCTCGTTAACCCTTTCTGAGCTGGACAGTGGAAGACGATGGGACTGCAAGGAAGGGTGGGCTAGAAATGGCCGACAGAGGCCTGGAATCTTGTCATTGAACTTTGCTGCTACCAACCAGGGTCCGAAAGGGGGCAACGCCCAGCAGGCCACGTGTGCAATGGGATGGGTTTCTGTGGTGCTGATCGAAGGCAATGGGAGAAACGGACAGCTCAGACAAAACCACACTGGTGGAATGTGTCAGCTTTAAGAAATGGCATTCGGGGGGGAGAGGAGGGCGCGCTGTATCTCAGGAACCCCTTGTTCCACTGACCCCAAATTTGGATCACTAATCCTCTCCTGCACCCCCATGAGGCATACCACATTTTACGGCAATCCAAGCCAGCCTGTGGATTTTGGTGCCCTTCAAAGAAGAGTCCATTAAACAACACGGCCTTCGCTACCTTAACTACATCAGAGCTGGCGCTCTGCTAGAATGCAGAATTTGGCATGCAAACGTCAGGGGTTTCCTGCCTTACCAATGAACGCTAGAACTAAACAGGAATATAATCCTCTTGGGCTCATGCTCTGTGCTGGAACCAGGAACAGTGATGTGTGTGTTTCAATGGTGCTTACAGACCCCGGTTGAGATCGGAATGCCCCTGTGCTGAGCGCGGCCCATAAGTATAGTAAGACAGGCTCCCATCCTAGAGAGCTAAATATCAATAAGGCAGGGGCCAGCTTTCCCTAGACTGCAATGAGCTCCCCCGTCAGGAAATTAACTCCCTCACCTTCCACTCGAAGTGCCAGGTGCATTTCTTTGACCTGCCCATCTGCAACATAAAAACAGAGCAACAGGCACAGATCTATTAATAACAATTTTCCAAAATAAAACACTCCACTGCACACACACACTTCTCCCCCCATGGGGAGTGGATGAAAGAACAAAACACGTGACAGACGTTAGTCATGTTGCTTAATGCACTACTGGAAAGGGCTCCGATGTCATTGTGATGAGCACAATATATAAAGAAAACAAATAGACACACAGGGATCAAGTTGGAGGAAGGGTTTTTTATACCCATTTCACAGATGGAGGAACTGAGGTCCAGATCTTCAAAGATATTTAGGCACCTAACTCCAATTGAATCCATGGAAGTTAGGCGCCTAAACTCCTTTTAGGATCTGGGCCTAATTGACTTGCCCAAGATCTCACAGGCGGTCTGCGGCAGAGCTAGGAATTAAACCCAAATCTCCTGGATCGCAGCCCAGCGCCTTATCCACAAGGATGGAAAAGCTAATAAAAGACAAGACCCCGATCATGCAAAAAATTAAATAGCGGAGCCTTTAATCAGGTATAAAATACAAGACACGAGTTTTATAAAAAATACAGAACTGGAGAGTCAAATGGATCATCCCAGAAATGGTAAAAACCCCATCTGAGCCCAAGGCAGGAAGCTGTGATGCGCTGTCCCGCTCCTCTGAGCCTGGCAGGGGGCCTGTGCAAATGCAAATTCATGGGACAAGTTTAATTTGTTAAAAGCACTTAAC